GAGAGAGAACGTAAAAGAGCTGATCCCTCACGAGGAAGACATGCAACGATAATAATAAGTCTTCACACGCGATGATGAGAAGACGTCACCTCTCAGCAGCACTGAGGGCTCAGGGACTTCTTGAGAGAAATGTTACATGTGACACAGATAGCAAGCACACAAAATCCACATGTGACACATAATCTGCTGGTCACCTACACTGAGCTACTTTGATCATTGAGTGCATTCACACGGCTTAACAGTGCATAAAAAAGCACAATCTGTGACCTCAATTGCAAGAAGTGATAGAATAATAGCTGTTAGCTGGGTCAAATCCAGTCACATTTGTTTACATAAACCTTCATAAAATACAGATTGTTTCAAAGCAGCTTTACAGGGATAAACAGGAAAATAATGATTCAGTGATGACACATTAATTCTGCTGTAAAAAAAAAACCCTCATTGTTCAGCTGTTCTCAACATTTTGTAATTGGTAATGTGCTATTCTCAATACTAAAAGAAAAAAATATTCTGTCACCTGACCTCCTTATGTTAAATGTTTAATTTAGCAAGTAATGCCGAGTTCACACTGCACGATTTTAGCTCGATTTTTCACTCGCCGACAGGTTTTGCGAAATCGCTGACAAATGCCCGAAATCGGAGGCAACTCGGTGCTCGTTCACGCGAGTGACAATCACGCAGTGTGAATTATCAAAGACGCGATCTGAGGGAATCGCCGACACGTCGTCGATGCCCGCAAAATATTTGGCATGCTAAGTATCTGGAGATGTCGGCGATTCACAATCACGCTGTGTGCAATGATTTCTGAATGAAAACTACATAGGCGATGACCTACAGCCAATGAGAGACCAAGATACAGGGCAGAGGGAAGTTCGGGGAGGAGTTATAGACCAGAATATCAGTATTTTAATAGATATATGAACAATTATATCATACAGAAACAAGCGCCTACATTTGCTTGACCAGCCACAACATCAGCATAACAGTGCAAAATTATCTATCAAAATTAAACTCTCTTTGCAGAACACCCAATCCCTGTTTCCTGCATCTCCCTCCTGCATAATCTGTTTTTCTTAAATTTTTTTAAATAATTCCAGTCTCGCTTGAGAACTCCGGTCTGACGCACGCGGGTTCTCGCGTTATTTCCTTATCACTTCTCGCGTGTGTTTTGTTGTGAAACGTAGTTTGCGGACCAGACAGAGCTGTTGGCGATTCTTCCTATTGTGAAGTCATGCAATGTGAAACCCCCTGTCGCCGATCCATCGTGCAATGTGAACACAGCAGCAACTGAATGCTACCCCAGATAGTCACGCAGTGTGAAAACAACGGCGATCCGATGAGTTTGAAAATCATGCAGTGTGAACTCGGCATAAGTTTGCAAGGTTTGTAAAATTAAATTTTCATTAGCCATTCACAGATTTGTTTAAATGATGTAAATGTGTATTTGCTGAATGCTAACGGCAAACAAGAAAGTATTATAATGTTTGCCTTTCTATTACTAATAATATAAAAGCAATCGTTATAATACTTTTTGTATACATTTTAATTCCTTTAACAGCTCTATCTGGTTATTAGACAGACTTCTATCCGTATTAGACAGAACTGTTAACGACGACGGCGAACAAGAGAGAGAATGTGAGCACTGTGTACTCAAGCGCAGCCGCTCTTAGCGCCGTCAAAATAAAAGTCCCGCCTCGAACGCATTGGCCAAACAGAAAAACTTATCGGCCGATGCCGATATTTAAAAAATGCCAATTATTTTATTTTATTTTTTTAAAGTCGGCATGAAACGGAAAGTTGCGATTGTCTTTTCTTCTCTACTGTGACATATATCCGAGTATACGGCATCTGAAATGAGAGGGCGGGACTTGATTTCGTCCTTCAGGAATTGATTGGATCTTTGGAAGTTGGGGCGTTGTCAACAAAATGGAGGCAGATCTAAGATGCCAGTTTTCAGTTAGTTGTGGGGGTTTACTCTCCACTGGATTAACCGCCGACACCCAAGCATGAATAAATGTTTTATTTATTAAGGATGACGACGAGGATCAACGGCACAAAACATGCGAGAGAGAGAGACTGAGCGCATCCACCATCAAGTTAAGTCATATTCATGAAAAAAAAAAATTAGTTTGCGATGTCCTAAGAGTAATGTTGTCGTAATATCCTAATATCTTTTCAATGTTTAGGGGTAACGTACTCCCTCATGACTGGTGTCAGTGCTATAAAGTGAAGCATCAGCTTTAGCTTTTCCCCCCAAACGTCACTGATGTCACTGCAGCTGTTGGCAGTTCCAGATAGCTCCGCTCTTGCGCCATAGCTCGTGACTGGAAGAGCTATCTGGAACTGCCAACAGCTGCAGTGACGTTAACGTTTTTGATTAAAGATTACGAGGGCACATGCATTTAAAAAAAAAGAATGAAGTGTACGGATAAATAATTTATAATAAACACTACAGTATTCCATCAAAAAATAAGAATTGTCAGTTTTGATTTCATACCGACTTTAAGAATCGATATCGTTCCGTAAAAATGAGAATCAATTAATATCGAGATATCGATATTTTTTACCCAGTCCTAGTACACACACATATATTATGTAAACAAAAACTTTTATTTTGGATGCGATTAATAACGATTAATCTTTTGACAGCACTAGTTTTTGTGTTGAAGGGAATTGTCTGTTTAGATATGAAATCAATGTAAGGATTATGTCAGGTCTCCTACATCATAAGAAATCTAAAACATTTATTTATTTGTTTATATAGGGACAGTACAAAAATCATGATTCCAGCCAGAAAAGGCTGAAAAATATGCATTGTACATAGAGAGTATAGCATATGCTAATTTGCATATTGGGTCCTTAGAAAGGCTTTTCTTCCAAAAAACAAACAATCAAAAAACATACATTCATACATACTGTACTTTGACTTTTTAATCCAGCAGTTCATCATGTTCAGCCATTTATGAGCTTATAGGGTTAGGGTCACAATACCAAAAAATTAGTAGTTGATACATCAAAATTTGCTTAAACAAACTCCTTTGAACTTTTTAAGTTAAATATTACAATCAATCAAAACATTCCTTTAGACCACATCAGAAGTACTTTTGCAGAAAAGACTTCAGATATCGACTGGGATGAACTGGAACAAAGTGTGAAAGCAGAGCAAAGTACAACATATATGTGTAAAAGATGTTAATGTGACAACAGTCAG